TCCAATATATGATTTGAATTACCCTCTCCTACAAATTTCCGATGTAGATATAAATAATAGATATAAAATAAAACAAAACAAAATTCGCAGAGTTAATAAGAAAATGAAAAAAATTTTCGCATAGCCAATCACTAAAGATTTAGTTTTAATCAATTTTAAAAATGTTTTTAATTCAAAACGCTACTATTTATATATCAAAATTTTAATATAAAATATATGGATATTAACAATGTTTTTCTTGAAAAAATACTTTGTCTAAAATAAATTACTTAAATAAAATTAAAAAACTTTGAAACTTATCTTAAAATATATAAAATGGATACATGCCAACAAAAGTATTTTATTTCTTAAACTTTTTTCTTTAGCTATATTATCAATGACTTTAGACAAAATATTTGAATTAATTTTTAAATCAAAGTATTTTCCTTACTAAGTTTTTGTGTTATATGCCTCTTCATTCAGCATTTATGAAATCCACCATTTTATAAATAATATCCAATATATGATTTGAATTACCCTCTCCTACAAATTTCCGATGTAGCAACGCTATGCCAAATGTTGACATCAGGGAGAATGTCAATAATCTGTTTTTTAATCAAAAAAAATTTAAATGAAACTACCTTGTATTTTTGTATCATGAGTTTAAGTTATTTATAACCATTCGCTCTCAAAACTTATTAAAGGTTTGTTTGAAAAAACTTTTAATAAGCTTAATATTAAAAATGCTTATTTAACGCTTATTATAGCAAACTTAATTTAAGTTATTTTTAAAAACGTTTACTGAAATGCTTGTTGGGCAAATACTTACCCACACGAATAAAGACTAAAGCGCTGAACATTGACAACGCTACTGGGCTGAATACGCCAGCAAAAGTCCCTAGAGTACGACCGCTTCTATCCGGATCCTGCATACCGAACTCAACGTAACCATGTTCGCCTGCATTTGAGGGCGAATGTATGCCGCCGCCGCCGCTGCCTGTGTGATTGCTATTCGCTCCAAACAATGAGCCAAACGAACGAAACATTGAGGAAGCCCCACCACTGCGATGCGAGGCAATCGGTGCCATCTCATCGTTGGGAACATCACCACCGCCATTGCGTCTTTCCACTGGTTGCTGGATCATCTCAATTGTGCCAGCGGCGGTAGATACGTGGGCAGTTAAACGCGACAATTTGTGTTATTCACTCACACAAACGCCCACAAAAAATATACCAACTTTGGTCTGTTGTGGAAAGTTTCACAAACTTTTTCTATATAAATCCGTATGTATACCCGCGAGATTAGTACTTAACTGCCCACGAACGTAGTAAATAGAAGTGAAGAATTCTGCTTATGGGCGGTATTGTCACTTGCGAAGCGAATGAATTTGGCGAAGCGAGCGGTTTGGCGAAGCGAACTAAAGGCAGAGAAGGTATTAAACTCAGTATCACAGCAAGAATGATAGAATACAAGATTGCGCCAATCGAGCTGAGAGCAACT